CCCCCCCCCCCCTGCCCCCTCCCTCACTGCTTTAACCAGGAAGTCAATTTCCTCACTTCAGGGCAAATCAAATCAAACTCCACCTTTCTATCTGTTTCCTGCAGTATTTTTCAGTCACATTTTTTAGGTCTTTGCTGTGAGTGAGAAACAAGTTTGTTGAACACAGGATTTGATGTTGAATGAGGCTTTATTAAATCTGCCAGTAAAAAAAAAAAAAAAAGAAAATCTCCTAAACATGTGTCATTTGTGTGTGTGTGTGTGTGTGTGTGAAGCTGCAGCTGTGCTTCCCTTTGAGTTTCACTAGTTAAATCCGCCAGTGTTTTTCAGGGATTATGTGAAATCAGCTCGGCGCAGACAGGAGGTCCGGATCAAAGAGTGAACTCCGGGCTCTGAGTCGGTGATAGGAGCGCCGCAGCACTTCTGAATGAAGGCTCCGTCTACGATGAGGCGGACGGTGAGAGGAGATGTCAGGATTTGGAGCAGTCATTTGTGCAGAGGACTAAAAGCAGAGCTCCAACTCCTCCACCTCCTTTTACAGACAGGGATTATCACGCAGTGAGTCCTGGTGTGGACGCCGCCGCCGCCTCGCTGCGCTTCCCTCTTTGATGAGGCCTAAATACCCCAGATGAGAAGGTTATGTGGAGGAGTGAAATGATGGGAGGTGAGATGGGTCGGCCCGGCTCCGTAAGAAGATTCTAGTTTTTCTTCAGTCACAGCTTCAGCTCTCTCTCTCTCTCTCTCTCTCTCTCTCTGGAGTAGGAGCCTCATATGACAGAGTAACCACCAGCGTGACTGTAGTACCTGTGGTACTACAGTACAATACTGCACACACTCGATGGTCCTGTGTGGTAACATCTGTCAGAACATGTCTCTAAACCCGTGGTTCTCGACTGGTCCAAGTTCAGGACACACCGTCACAGGATCCCAGCTGAGAACTTTCGACTTCTCAGATTTATTGAATGTCAAGATGATGCAGAGGTCGGAGACCAGACCAGCAGGATGAAGTGGACACTTCTGTGATGTCCCCATGTCCTCCAGCTGTCTCTGAAGTACTTTACAGGTTCTGGTCTTCTGTGTCCACATGTTTTGACGTCTTCTTGCTTTGACAAATGTCCAAAACTCGCCGCACGAAACATACTGAGGTTTTTGACATGACCTTCGACCAGAATTAAAAATAAATCAATCTGTCAATCAATATGTATGCATGTCTTCTTTTACGATGATGACTTGCAACACAGGGGTTTTAGCTCCACCTACTGTTAAGAAGTGGTAGTCCACCAGTTGAGAGCCGCTGCTCTGAACCAGCATCTCTCTGTCTGTGGACGTTAGCCACACCAGCTACGTCCGTCTCCTGACCGTCGACCAATCCTGTTGAAGGTTCATGGAGGGGCGCTGGGTCTCTGATGAGCGTAATTTCTTCATCTTGCCACCAGGAGGATACTCAGGAACTCAGCCGTGTGTGTGTGTGTGACAGGAGGAACCTGTCGACGTGGTGAACGTGTCACTCTCCCAGTGATGGATGGCTCTGTTGGTGGAGCTGACAGCCTCGTAGTGGTTATTTCATTTCCACACCCTGCTTTGTTTACCCTCACTGTAATATCTGGGAACATTAGCATGGCAGAACGGTGGCAGGGGTCGAGGGGGGGGGGCAGGGGGGTGTCTATTAGCAGAGAAGAGAGGGAGTTTGAAAAAAAGGAAAGAAGAAAAAGCGTAAGGAGAGCGAATACGAATCAAAGGCCGCGGTGTAAAAAGGTGAAGGAGCGAAAAGGTAGGAGAGACGACGGCGGAGCAGGAAGACAGAGGCGCGGGAGCCGACATGACAGGCTGAAAGAACACATTAAAGGAAACTCTTGTTGCCTTCTGACAACGCTGCGGGGAAAAAAGACGTCAGCTGTTAGAAGTCGACGCGCTGCCTTCGGGGCTCCTGGGGTCGTAACCATTTAACTGGTAGAAGACGGAGAGGTTTGTGTCTTTGACTGGCGGCGCTGCATCCAAGGCTGCGTTCAAGGCCTGGAAATGGCCTGACTATCGTTGAAACATCTCTGAGGCTCAGACGTACTGTAAGAGTGAACGCACGGGAGACTGCAGATAAGAAGAAACGTCGGATTAACAGTAGTGTTTGTGTTAGCGTTAGCTTGGTTCTTTGTTGGTTTTTCCCCTGTGTTAGCTCCGCAGCAGAGAGACGGGGAACACATTTATGATCGTTTTACTTCTCTATTTCTTTGATAAAGAGTCCGACTTTTAAGGGTTTTTCTTTTTGGGTAAAACAGCGGTTTCCAAACTGGGGGACAGCACCTCCATACGGGCCGGGAAACTATTGAGGGAGAGCTCAACGGGGGCCAAAGTTTTGCAGGATTTCCTGATTTGACAGGAAATACTCAAATGTTACAGATCAGTGAAACTGTTTACAGTTATTTTCATAGATTTTTTAACCTTTATTCTGTCCTTTTCTTTGACAGTTCCGGTACAATTTCTTCCTGAATCCTTTTTCCTTCCTGTCCCTCCTTCACATGTCACATCATTTTTCATCTCTTCCACTTCTCCTCACCCCTCTCCCCCCTTCAATCTCCATCAATGCAGCTTGCTCTGGAGATTAAAGCAGCGTGTGTAATTGGCTCTACAGGGCTTCACGGCTGCTTTTTTGTTGAAGCACTGATGAGCACTTGACGTGTTGTGTCTGTGCGCGTGAGCGTGCACGTGGTTGTCAATCCTCGGTGGAGTGCCACAGCATTCACTTTCCTCAGGTGAGACTCTCAGGCCTGGAGGAGCCGAGTTAAAACCCAAAGACAACGAGGTTTTTACTGAGTCGCTGAGAGGGAGAGAGGATGCAGAGGAGCTGCTGCTGCTAACACTGCTGCTGCTAATGCTGCT